TCCAGCCTGGGTGACAGAGCGAGACTCCGTCTCAGAAAAAAACCCAAAACACAAACAGAAAGCTCCATTTTACCATCTCGGAGAAATCAAGACTGGGATGGAAGGTTGGAAACTCAAGAGGAGGCCAAGGCACTGAGCAGGGAAAGCAGACCCCAGCAGTGGGAAGCCCTCCTGCTCACCTCACTGTGAGCTTCGCCGTGTAAGAATATATGACATTCAGATATTGTCAGCTCAGTATATTCTGCTGTTGCTCAGAGGCTGGTGGCTCCTGCCCCATTTGTCCACGGTCACCTTGTCCTCATGTAGTGACTGCTGAGCCCACAGACTCCAGTGCTGGAGCATAAGAACTGGCTTAAATGCCCCCTCTCCCACTCTGCCCCTGCACCTCTCTTAACCTAACCTTGTGTCCTCATCTGTGAAGTGGGCCTACGGTCCCCACACTGCACAGGTTTGTTGTAAAGTTGAATTAAAGGAAGGCTGGAATCCACCACCGCAGTGTCTAGCACATAAGAGCCTTTGAAAGATGCCTGCTTACGCCGGGTGCGGTGGCTCACGCCTATAATCCCAGCACTTTGGGAGGCCGAGGCGGGTGGATCACAAGGTCAAGAGATCGAGACCATCCTGATCAACATGGTGAAACCCCGTCTCTACTAAAAATACAAAAAATTAGCTGGGCATGGTGGTGTGTGCCTGTAATTTCAGCTACTCAGGAGGCTGAGGCAGGAGAATTGCCTGAACCCAGGAGGCGGAGGTTGCAGTGAGCCGAGATCGCGCCATTGCACTCCAGCCTGGGTAACAAGAGCGAAACTCCATCTCAAAAAAAAAAAAAGAAAGAAAGATGCCTGCTTACTTCTCTCCTTCTCTGTCTACTAAGATTGAATTGATGCTTTTTACAGTTTGGTGGGAAGGTCAGAGGATGTGGGGAGACATGTATTTTTAGGAGAGTATTTTGACATAGATAAAAGTGGAGATTTCTTCTTTTTATTTTTTTATTTTTATTTTTTGAGATGGACTCTTGCTCTGTTGCCAGGCTTGAGTACGGTGGCACAATCTGTGCTCACTGCAACCTCCATCTCCCGGGTTCAAGCGATTCTTCTGCCTCAGCCTCCCAAATAGGTGGGATTATGGGTATCTACCACCATACCCAGCTAATATTTTGTATTTTTAGTAGAGACGGGGTTTTGTTGTGTTTCTCAGACTAGTCTCAAACTCCTTCCCTCAGGTGATCCACCCACCTTGGCTCCCAAAGTGCTGGAATTACAGGTGTGAGCCGCCGCACCCGGCCTAATTTTTTTATTTTAGTAGAGACTGGGTTTCACCGCGGCCAAGATGGTTTCGATCTCCTGACCTCATGATCTGCCTGCCTCAGTCTCCCAAAGTGCTGGGATTACAGGCATGAGCCACCGTCCCTGGCCAAAAGTGGGGACTTCTATATGAACCCAAAGTTCCTATAGAACCTCATTTCACCATCACTTCCTACTCTGTTTCCTTCCCTTTCCAGCCCCTATCAGAGGGCCTTTCATCCCCAACCTCATGTCTCCTCCCGGGCCCCCATCCTGCCCCAGCGCCGCATGGCTGCCTTCAGCCTGTTCTTCCTGAAATATTGCCCAGGGTGCCAAATTCTGACTGCACATTGCCCAGGGTGCCAAACTCTGAGCCTCCAATGCCCCATGCACCATGTACAGCCCTTCAACCTTCCCAGTTTCCTCTCCCACCCATCCCCTGACACCCCTCACTGACTCCCCTTCCAGGAAGGCCTCCCCTGCCTCATTTTCTTCCCTACCCAAAGAGACTGTGGACATAAAGTCTCCCCCACCTCCTAACCCACAAAAATTCCAGTCACTTCCTCCTCCTCAGGTTCCATTCCTGACCAAGAGGTTATCACACTGTGTTATTTATCTATCATCTGTGCCCCACCAAGCTCGAGCTTGCAATCCCTAAAGGTCAGAGATTGCTTCTTCAACCAGGACCTGGAAGACAGCAGTTGTGCAAAAGATGCCTGCAGGAAGGCAAGCTAGTTACGGGTCTGCTCAGCTGCTCTGAGCCAGTGCCTAGTGGCTGAGCCAGGCTCCAAGCTGGTTTCTGCCCACCACACATACTGGTGTCCCTCACTCCATGTTTCCCCTTCACTGCGGGACATTTCAGCATGCTGAGTCTCCTCAGGCATTAGCACAAGGGAGCAGGTGCTTACAGAAAGTCCAGCCCGGGCATGTATGTGGCCAGCGTATGCAGGGATGCACCGCTACACGGTGGGGATACGTTCTGAGATTTTGTCATTACGCAGTCATGGTGTGCACTTACACAGACCGAGGTGGTGGGCCTCCTACTCACCTAGACTACACAGGGCAGGAGACTGCTCCTGGGCTACAAGCCTGTCCAGAGTGTTCCAGTACTGTACACTATAAGCAGTTGTAACACAATGTATTTGTGTATCTGAACCTGTCTAAACATAGAAAAAGTGCAGTAAAGACATAGTACACAAAAGATGCAAACCGGTGCACCTGGAAAGGGCACTGTCAGGAATGGAGCTTGCAGGCCTGAAGGCTGCTCTAGGCGAGGCAGTGACTGGGTGGTGAGTGAATGTGAAGGCCCAAGACATTAGTGTACACCTTTGCAGATGCTATAAACACTGTACTTAGTCTACACTAAATTTATTTTTGTCTATTTAGAGATCGATAAATAAATAAATAAAAATAACACCCAGGCTGGAGTTAGCAGTGGCACAATCTCATCTCACTGCAACCTCTGCCTCCCTGGTTCAAGTGATTTTCCCACCTCAGCCTCCCAAGTAGCTGGGATTATAGGCGTGTGCCATCATGCCAGGCTAATTTTTGCATTTTTAGTAGAGATGGGTTTTTGCCATATTGGCCAGGCTGGTCTTGAACTCCTGACTGCTGGTGATCCACCTGCCTTGGCCTCCTAAAGTGCGGGGATTACACGCATGAGCCATCACACCTGGCCTAAATTTATTTTTTCTTATTTTCTTTCTTCAATTATAAATTAAACTAGCTTCCTGTAACTTTCTTATTTTGTAAACTTTTACATTTTTTAGCTTTTTTACTTTTTAAAATAACACCTGGCTTAAAATGCAAACACAATTTATAGCTGTACAAAAATATTTCCTTTTTAATATCCTTATTAAATAAGCTTTTTTCTATTTTTAAAATTTTAGTTTTATTTCTTAGTTTTTTTTTTTTTTAATTAAAACACAGACACACAAGCCTAGGCCCACACAGGGTGAGGATCATCAATATCACTCCCTTCCACCTCCACATCTCATCCCATCAGGAGGTCTTCGGGGGCAATAATATGCATAGAGCTCTTACCTGTGATAACAATGCCTTCTTCTGGATGCTTCCTGAAGGGCCTCCCTGGGGCTGTTTTACAGTTAACTTCTTCTTTCTTTTTATTCTCACTGTTGTTTTATTTTTAAAAATTTTTTATTGTACTTTAAGTTCCGGGGTACATGTGCAGATCTTGTAGGACTGTTGCATAGGTTCACACATGCCATAGTTGTTTGCTGTCTCCATTCCCCCATCACCTGCATCAGGCATTTCTCCCAGTGTTATCCCTTCCCAATCTGCCTACCCCCCATCCTTCCCCTAGCCCCCCACACCCCAACATACCCCAGTGTGTGATGTTCCCCTCCCTGTGCCCATGTGTTCTCATTGTGCAACACCCGCCTATGAGTGTGAACATGCGGTGTTTCGTTTTCTGCTCTTGTGTCAGTTTCCTGAGAATGATGGTTTCCAGATTCATCCATGTGCCTACAAAGAACATGAACTCATCGTTTTGTATGGCTGTATAATATTCCATAGTATAAATGTGCCACATTTTTTTTTGTCCAGTCTATCATTGATGGGTATTTGGGTTGATTCCAGGTCTTTGCTATCGTAAACAGTGCTGCAGTGAACATACGCGTGGATGTGTCTTTACAATAGAACGATTTATAATCCTTTGGGCATATACCCAGTAATGGGATTGTTGGGTCAAATGGAATTTCTATTTCTAGGTCCTTGAGGAATTGCCACACTGTCTTCCACAATGGTTGAACTAATTTACACTCCCACCAACAGTGTAAAAGTGTTCCTGTTTCTCCACAGCCTCTCCAGCATCTGTTGTCAAGCGATTTTTTGATGACCGCTACTCTAACTGTGGTGAGATAGTATCTCAATGTAGTTTTGATTTGCATTTCTCTAATGACCAGTGATGATGAGCATTTTTCATGTTTGTTGACCTCATATATGTCTTCTTTTGAAAAGTGCCTGTTCATATCCTTTGCCCACTTTTGAATGGCTTTGTTTTTTTTCTTGTAAATCTGTTTTAGTTCTTTGTAGATTCTGAATATTAGCCCTTTGTCATTGCAAAATTTTTTTCCCATTCTGTTGGTTGCCAGTTCACTCTAATGATTGTTTCTTCTGCTGTACAGAAACTCTGAAGTTGTAATTAGATCCCATTTGTCTATTTTGGCTTTTGTTGCTTTTGGTGTTTTAATCATGAAGTCCTTGCCTGTACCTATGTCCTGAACGGTTTGCCTAGGTTTACTTCCAGGGTTTTTACGGTGTTAGGTCTCATGTTTAAATCTTTAATCTATCTGGAGTTAATTTTAGTGTAAACTGTAAGGAAGGGGTCCAGTTTCTGCTTTCTGCACATGGCTAGCCAGTTTTCCCAACACCATTTATTAAACAGGGAATCCTTTCCCCGTTGCTTGTTTTCGTCAGGTTAGTAAAAGAACAGATGGTTGTAGATATGTGGTTTTGCTTCTGAGGTCTCTACTCTGTTCCATTGGTCTATATCTCTGTTTTGGTACCAGTACCAAGCTGTTTTGATTACTGTAGCCTTGTAGTATAGTTTGAAGTCAGGTTTCATGATGCCTCCAGCTTTGTTCTTTTTGCTTAGGATTATCTTGGCTATGCAGAAACTTGGTCCCATATGAAGTTTACAGTGTTTTTTTTTCCAGTTCTGTGAAGAACGTCAATGGTAATTTGATGGGGATAGTGTTGAATCTATAAATTACTTTGGGCAGTATGGCCATTTTCACAATGTTGATTCTTCCTATGAGTAAGGAATGTTTTTCCATCTGTTTGTATCCTCTCTTATTTCCTTGAGCAGTGGTTTGTAGTTCTCCTTGAAAACGTCCTTTACATCCCTTGTTAGTTGTATTCCTAGGTATTTTATTCTCTTTGTAGCAGTTGTGAATGGCAGTTCATTCTTATTTGACTCTCTGTTTGTCTGTTATTGGTGTACAGGAATGCTTGTGATTTCTACACGTTGATTTTGTATCCTGAGAATTTGCTGAAGTTGCTTATCAATTTAAGGAGATTTGGGGCTGAGATGATGGGGTCTTCTAAATATACAATCATGTCCTCTGCAAATAGGGACAATTTGTCTTCCTCCTTTCCTAATTGAATATCCTTTATTTCTTTTTCTTGTCTAATTGCTCTGACTAGAACTTCCAATACTATACTGAATAGGACTGGTAAGAGAGGGCATCCTTGTCTAGTGTCAGATTTCAAAGGGAATGCTTCCAGTTTTTGCCTGTTCAGTATGATATTTGTTGTGGGTTTGTCATAAACAGCTTTTATTATTTCAAGATACATTCCACTGATACCTAGTTTATTGAGGGTTTTTAGCGTAAATGGCTGTTGAATTTTGTCAAAGGCCTTTTTTGAGATAATCATGTGGTTTTGTCTTTGGTTCTGTTTCTGTGATGGATTACGTTTATAGACTTGTGTATGTTGAACCAGCCTTGCATCCCTGGAATGAAACCTACTTATCATGATGGATAAGCTTTTAATGTGCTGTTGCATTCAGTTTGCCAATATTTTACTGAAGATTTCTGCATCTATGTTCATCATGGATATTGGCCTGAAGTTTTCTTTTTTAGTTGAGTCTCTGCCAGGTTTTGGTAACAGGATGATGTTGGTCTCATAAAATGAGTTAGGAAGGATTCCCTCTTTTTGTATTGTTTGGAATAGTTTCAGAAGGAATGATACCAGCTCCTCTTTGTACATCTGGTAGAATTCGGCCCTGAGCAAATGGAGAGCAAAAAAAGGCAGGGGTTGCAATCCTAGTCTCCGCTAAAATAGACTTTAAACCAACAAAGATCAAAAGAGACCAAGAAGGGCATTACATAATGGTAAATGGATCACTGCAACAAGAAGAGCTAAGTATTCTAAATATATATGCACCCAATACAGGAGCACCCAGATACATAAAGCAAGTAAGTTCTTTACTACCTACAAAGAGACTTAGACTCCCACACAATAATAGTGGGAGACTTTAACACTCCACTATCAATATTAGACAGATCAATGAAACATAAAATCAACAAGGATATCCAGGACTTGAACACAGATCTGGACCAAGCAGACCCAAGAGACATCTACAGAACTCTCCACCCCAAATCCACAGAATATCCATTTTTCTCAGCACCACATTGCACTTACTCTAAAACTGACCACATAATTGGAAGTAAATCTCTCCTCAGCAAATGCAAAAGAACGGAAATCATAACAAACAGTCTCTCAGACCGCAGTGCAATCAAATTCGAAATTGTGATTAAGAAACTCACTCAAAATCGCACAACTACATGGAAACTGAGCAACTTGCTCCTCAATGATGACTGGATAAACAATGAAATGAAGGCAGAAATAGATGTTCTTTGAAACCAATGAGAACAAAGATACAATATACCAGAATCTCTGGGACACATTTAAAGCAGTGTCTAGAGGGAATTATAGCAGTAAATGTGCACATGAGAAGCTAGGAATGATCTAAAATCAACACCCTATCATCAGAACTGAAAGAGCCAGAGGAGCAAGATCAAAAAAACTCAAAAACTAGCAGAAGACAAGAAATAACTAAGATCAGAGGAGGACTGAAGGAGATAGAGACACACAAAAAAAGCCTTCAAAAAATCAATAAATCCAGGAGCTGTTTTTTTTAAAAGATCAACAAAACAGACAGACCACTAGCCAGATTAATAAAAAAGAAAAGAGAGAAGAATCAAATAGATGCAATAAAAAACTATATTTATTGCAATGCTTCCAATTTCTGTTCTTTTTCATTTGCTGGAATTGGGGATATCACCACCGATTCCACAGAAATACAAACTACCATCAGAGATTACTACAAACAACTCTATGCACATAAACCAGTAAATCTGGAAGAAATAGATAAATTCCTGGACACTTGCACCCTCCCAAGACTAAACCAGGAAGAAGTTGAAACCCTGAATAGGCCAATAACAAGGGCTGAAGTTGAGGCAGCAATTACTAGCCTACCAACCAAAAAAAGTCCAGGTCCAGATGGCTTAACTTCTTTTTTATAAGCAGTAAACTATGAAATAATAAAAAGTATAATATAGGCTGGGTGCAGGTAATCCCAGCACTTTGGGAGGCTGAGGCAGGCAGATCACTGAAGCTTACAAGTTCAAGATCAACCTGTGCAACATGGCAAAACCCCATCTCTACCCAAAACACAAAAATTAGCCCTGGCATGCACCTATGATTGCAGCTACTCAGGAGGCTGAGGTGGGAGGATGTCTTGAACCTGGGAGGCAGAGTTTACAATGAGCCAAGATCGCACCACTGCACTCTAGTCAGGGTGACAGAATCAAACTTTATCTCAAAAAAAAAAAAAGGAAACAAAAGGTATAATACATACATAAACTAGTAACATAGTCATTTATCATCACTATCAAGTATTATGTACTGTACATCATCTCGGGTGCTATACTTTAATGCAACTGACTGCAGTTGCTTTGCTCACACCACATCCCCAGAAGCACCTGAGTAATGCAGTGTGCTACAGTGTTACAATAGCTACTCTTCACTGGGTGATAGGAATTTTTTCAGCCCCGTTATAAGCTCGATAATAATTCAGCTCCATCATAATGGTCCCAATAATGGTCCCCATTATGGGATCACCATTATAGTTGCAGTCCTTGCATTTTTAGTAGAGACGGGGTTTAACCATGTTGACCAGGATGGTCTTGATCTCTTGACCTCATGATCCACCCGCCTCGGCCTCCCAAAGTGCTGGGATTATAGGCGTGAGCCACCGCGCCTGGCTGAGATTTTTCATGTAGACTAGTATATCAGTTATAGATTGCCTCACGACAATTAAGTGCCTCTGTCATTTAGGAGCTTAAAGCAACAAAATATTATCTCACTGTTTGTGTGGGGCAGAAACTCACACCAGGCTTAGCTGGGTGGTTCCAGCTCACCACTGCACTCCAGCCAGGACGAGAATCAAACAAAAACGTATAATAAATACATAAACCAGTAATAGTCATTTTATTATCACTATCAAGTATTATTACTGTACATATCGTGTGTGCTATACTTATACTCTCATGCAACTGGCCATGCAGTAGGCCAGTTCTCTCCAGAGGCTGCAGGCAAGTTGTGAGCTGGCACCGACTTCCTCTAAAGCCTCAACTGGGGCTGGAGAATTGCTTCCAAGTTTGAAACTGACCCAATAGTCCCACAAACCGTTTTTTTGCGGGGGGGGGGGGGGGGGGGGATAAAGACAGAAATTGACCCTTCTGGCTTGAAATTTACATTTGTTTTACTTGAGTTCCTTCCTCACGAAACTAACTTCAGGCCCCTCAAGAAAAGTACCAAAAAATTGAAAGTCAGCAGACCACCACATCCAGACAAGGAGGTACCAGGCCCCTCATTCATGTGATTGCTTCCGGCCCCTCCCTAGTTCCTGTTTTCCTACACATTGTTTCATATAGGTCAGGGAGATGGATTTGAGAGGGAGCGCCTATCTCCTCCACCACAGCACCTGATTAAATCCTTCCATGGCGATACTTGTCATCTCAGTGATGAGCTTTTAGTGTGGTGAGCAGTAGGACCTGGACCAAACCCTTGGTGTTTTGGTAACAAGTTCACTCAGTCACACAGCTCTCAGTCCCTTGCCGTGTGGGTGTCTCTGCGGAGCCGCTCCTGGTGTGGCAGCTGGCTCCCCTTCGAGTCAGCTCTCGGAAAGAAAGAGCAGTCAAGATGGAAGCCATCAGCAAAGTCTCATGATACAAAATCAGTGTGCAAAAATCACAACATTCTTATACACCAGTAACAGACTAACAGAGAGCCAAATCATGAGCAAACTCCCATTCACAGTCGCTACAAAGAGAATAAAATACCTAGAATACAACTAACAAAGAATATAAAGGACTTCTTCAAGGAGAACTACAAACCACTGCACAATGCCTTCTTAGGACCTAGTCCTCAAAGTCAAACGCCTCCACCTCAGCCAGAGTCCATTCTTTACAAGTGTCTCCAAACACAGCCCGGACTCAGGCAAGGGGAATCGGCTTCCACCGTTCAGAGGGAGTAAAAAAGAAGTCATGGGCCTACATTTAAATCCACCACAACTCGTTCTTTAGAAAAAAGAGAGGCTGTGTGTGGATGAAATAATGACCTCACATTTTAAACTTATGAAGCTCGTGCTGTATTTCATGGATTTCAAAGACACTATTTTTTCATATTTGAACACCTCCAAAATTAGGAGGTGTTTTTCCAATAGCACAGCCTAGTTTCAGTGAAACATAGTATTGTATGTGGGCCCCCTGCCCTGCATTATTGCATTTAACTGTTATAGCAATTGTAAAATGTGGATATTAACATGGCCATATTGAATGTGGGGCCCTGGGTGTTCACCGGAGAGCTGGGGTAATTTGCCCGTGTCTGTTGTCTGGAGCAAGATAGAGCAAGGATTCAAACCCAAGGGCCCCTCAGTCTTAACACTGTGTTGACATGACTCAGGGAGTGAAAAGGGGAATTGTATTTTGAAGACTTCCTTTCTTTTTTTTTTTTTTTTGAGATGGAGTCTCGCTCTGTTGCCCAGGTTGGAGGGCAATTCTCCTGGGAGTGCTGGGAGATGCGCTTCCTTTCCTCCTATCCAGCCCCAGCCCCACTTTCTCACTCTGTGACACCTGGTTGGCTTCTGGGTACAGCAGCTGCAATTTCCAAAGGCAGAGAGAAGTTCATTTCCTAGAGAATATTGGACAATTGTGTCTGCATCCCTAGAAGGAACCAGCTGGCAGTGGCCAACGGACCAAGCTATTGGGATAGTCCTAAGTTTATGGAGGAACACCTCTGCCTGTGGGCTTCCCCGACTCCCTTGCCCATTCTGCCTCAGAGTCTCACTCTGGGGTCAAACCACCATGCCTCCAAAGTCTGGAGGAGCGCAGCAGGGGAGGCATGAGACCATCAGGCAGGGGCCAGCCCATGTCACAAACATGACTTTGGGATCACCCTTTTCCTCCTGTGCTTCAGAGGAGCCTTATATCTTCTCAAGATACTGGAGGAGGCTCCAGTTAGTCTAACTGCGGAGAAACAGAGAAAGTCAGAAACAGTGCCAAGGCCTCCCCCTCAGAAGAGCCTCAGGGCTCAGCTTGCTCAAAGCTGCACTAGATTATTTATATATATATATATATATATATATATATATATATATATATATATATATGTCTATTTCTGAATGCATATCTGTATGTATGAATAGGTATATGTATATGCTAACATTTACATACATGCACACACACATTAAATATTTACATAATTTACATCATGCATACTTATTTGCATAAGCTCAGACATTCTAGAACGACGCCTGGCACAATCAGAGCATGTAACCTCAGAGAGGATTGGACTGGGAATGTGAGCATGAGAAAGGGAAACTTCTGTCTCTCACCTGATATCCATTCGGTAACATTTGAAATTTTGTGTGCATGCTCTTTTTTTTTTTTTTTTCGAGATGGAATTTCAATCTTGTTGCTTAGGCTGGAATGCAATGGCACAATCTCAGCTCACCGCAACCTCCACCTCCCAGGTCCAAGCGAGTCTCCTGCGTCAGCCTCCCGAGTAGCTGGGATTACGGGTGCAAGCCACCACACCTGGCTAATTTTGTATTTTTAGTAGAGACAGGGTTTCTCCATGTTGGTCAGGCTGGTCTCGAACTCCCAACCTCAGGTGATCCACCGGCCTCAGCCTCCCAAAGTGCTGAGATTACAGGCGTGAGTCAACACTGCCAGCTGTGTGCATGCTCTTTTCACAACAAATAAAAATGATTTAAACTTAGTCTCGGAGCTGAATGGAACGTGAATGAGAGGGGTGGCTGTGGCAGTCTCATGGAGCACACGTGCTTCACTCTCTTTCAGCGTCACCTGGGGGGACACGGCCATGTTCACATTCACAGAGGCTTGGGCAGCAATACGTTCATAGAAAGCTCTGATTAATGACTCAGTCTTTGCCCCAAAGGACTCATGAGCATTCCGAACACAAAGGTAAACACTCACTGATCTACTGCAGGCTGGAAAACGTGGCCACTCTAAGCAGGGCCTTGCAGGCTCTAAGATCCCTCAACAAGCCTGCTGTGCTCAGCCTAATGGCTACGTGAGGTGAAGCAGCTGCTTTTGATTGTAGGAAATTCCCCAGGCCCAACTGCAACCATGGTGAATGGAGTTATTTTTGAAGTTGAAGCTGCGCTGGATCTTTTCAAACAGCCAGGAGCACGTTCGTGGCAGCTCCGTTCTCTTCCACGGCCCTTCACTCCCTGTTTCCTTCAGGAATTGAGCACTGAATGTTAATCCTCATGGATCTCTTCTTAGCCACTTCCTGAACTCATTTGAGCGGGGAGGGGGAAAAACACGAGATGTTTTTAAAAACTCTCTGAGTTTGAGAGAAAGATCTAAAAGGGTCTGAGATTAATGAAATCCCAACTCTGAAAAGAGTTAGCGTAACATTCCCTCCATGTTAATAGCTGGCAGCCTGTGCAGTGTTTGGACTAGAAGATAAAGTAGAGGAGAGAGAGAGAGGGAGGGAAGAAGAGAGGAAAGTGTGGGGGGTAGGGAGACACAGGATGGTAGAGAAAGGCGGGGAGGGAGAGAGAAAGAGAAAGCTGGAGAGACAGAGAGGGAGGGAGAGAGGGAGGGAAGAAGAGAGGAAAGTGTGGGGGGTAGGGAGACACAGGATGGTAGAGAAAGGCGGGGAGGGAGAGAGAAAGAGAGAAAGCTGGAGAGACAGAGAGGGAGGGAGAGAGGGAGGGAAGAAGAGAGGAAAGTGGGGGGGGTAGGGAGACACAGGATGGTAGAGAAAGGCGGGGAGGGAGAGAGAAAGAGAAAGCTGGAGAGACAGAGAGGGAGGGAGAGAGGGAGGGAAGAAGAGAGGAAAGAGTGGGGGGTAGGGAGACACAGGATGGTAGAGAAAGGCGGGGAGGGAGAGAGAAAGAGAAAGCTGGAGAGACAGAGAGGGAGGGAGAGAGGGAGGGAAGAAGAGAGGAAAGTGTGGGGGGTAGGGAGACACAGGATGGTAGAGAAAGGCGGGGAGGGAGAGAGAAAGAGAGAAAGCTGGAGAGACAGAGAGGGAGGGAGAGAGGGAGGGAAGAAGAGAGGAAAGTGTGGGGGGTAGGGAGACACAGGATGGTAGAGAAAGGCGGGGAGGGAGAGAGAAAGAGAAAGCTGGAGAGACAGAGAGGGAGGGAGAGAGGGAGGGAAGAAGAGAGGAAAGTGTGGGGGGTAGGGAGACACAGGATGGTAGAGAAAGGCGGGGAGGGAGAGAGAAAGAGAAAGCTGGAGAGACAGAGAGGGAGGGAGAGAGGGAGGGAAGAAGAGAGGAAAGTGTGGGGGGTAGGGAGACACAGGATGGTAGAGAAAGGCGGGGAGGGAGAGAGAAAGAGAGAAAGCTGGAGAGACAGAGAGGGAGGGAGAGAGGGAGGGAAGAAGAGAGGAAAGTGTGGGGGGTAGGGAGACACAGGATGGTAGAGAAAGGCGGGGAGGGAGAGAGAAAGAGAAAGCGGGAGAGACAGAGAGGGAGGGAGAGAGGGAGGGAAGAAGAGAGGAAAGTGTGGGGGGTAGGGAGACACAGGATGGTAGAGAAAGGCGGGGAGGGAGAGAGAAAGAGAGAAAGCTGGAGAGACAGAGAGGGAGGGAGAGAGAGGGAGGGAAGAAGAGAGGAAAGTGTGGGGGGTAGGGAGACACAGGATGGTAGAGAAAGGCGGGGAGGGAGAGAGAAAGAGAGAAAGCTGGAGAGACAGAGAGGGAGGGAGAGAGAGGGAGGGAAGAAGAGAGGAAAGTGTGGGGGGTAGGGAGACACAGGATGGTAGAGAAAGGCGGGGAGGGAGAGAGAAAGAAAGCTGGAGAGACAGAGAGGGAGGGAGAGAGAGGGAGGGAAGAAGAGAGGAAAGTGTTGGGGGTAGGGAGACACACAGGATGGTAGAGAAAGGCGGGGAGGGAGAGAGAAAGAGAGAAAGCTGGAGAGACAGAGAGGGAGGGAGAGAGAGGGAGGGAAGAAGAGAGGAAAGTGTTGGGGGTAGGGAGACACAGGATGGTAGAGAAAGGCGGGGAGGGAGAGAGAAAGCTGGAGAGACAGAGAGGGAGGGAGAGAGAGGGAGGGAAGAAGAGAGGAAAGTGTGGGGGGTAGGGAGACACAGGATGGTAGAGAAAGGCGGGGAGGGAGAGAGAAAGAGAGAAAGCTGGAGAGACAGAGAGGGAGGGAGAGAGAGGGAGGAAAGAAGAGAGGAAAGTGTGGGGGGTACGGAGACACAGAGGATGGTAGAGAAAGGCGGGGAGGGAGAGAGAAAGAGAGAAAGCTGGAGAGACAGAGAGGAGGGAGAGAGAGGGAGGGAAGAAGAGAGGAAAGTGTGGGGGGTAGGGAGACACAGGATGGTAGAGAAAGGCGGGGAGGGAGAGAGAGAGAAAGCTGGAGAGACAGAGAGGGAGGGAGAGAGGGAGGGAGGCAGGAGGGGAGGGAGGGAGGCAGGAGAGGAAGAAGGGAGGAAGAGAGAGAGGAAGCAGGAGACAGGGAAGGAGAAACATGGAGAGAGAGAGAGGTGGAAGAAAAGAAGTTAGAGAGGGACAACAGAACAAAGGAGGACACCGTCTCTCCAGTTCATCTCAAGATGAACTCTCCAGGCACCAGTACTGTTTGAGGCAAGGCCTTGCCTATGGAGCCGTCTGCCCCAATTTTGTGTTCTTGTTTTTTTGAGACAAGAGTTTCACTCCTGTTGCCCAGGCTGGAGTGCAGTGGCCTGATCTCAGATAACTGCAACCTCCACCTCCCAGATACAAGAGATTCTCCTGCCTCAGCCTCCCGAGTAGCCGGGATTACAGGCCTGTGCCACCAAGCCCAGCTAATTTTGTATTTTTAGTAGAGACGGGGTTTTTCCATGTTGGTCAGGCTGGTCTCAAACTCCAGACCTCAGGTGATCTGCCCACCTCAGCCTCTCAAAGTGCTGAGATTACAGGCATGAGCCACCACGCCCAGCCCCCTTAACCCCAATTGATATGGAAGTGCTGGAAAGAGAAGAGTAGGGTCCCTTATTTTTTTTTTATTTTTATTTTTTATTTGAGACAGAGTCTTGCTCTGTCACCCAGGCTGAAGTGCAGTGGCACAATCTCGGCTCACTGCAATCTCTGCCTCCCAGGTTGAAGCGATTTTCCTGCCTCAGCCTCCCGAGTAGCTGGGATTACAGGTGTGTACCACCACACTCGGCTAACTTTTTGTATTTTTAGTAGAGATGGGATTTTACCTTGTTGGCCAGGATGGTCTCAGTCTCCTGACCTCATGATCTGCCGGCCTTGGCCTCCCAAAGTGCTGGAATTACAGGCATGAGCCATAGCACCCAGCAAAGTATAGTCCCTTTAAATGATACAGAAGGGGAGAAGCGAAGTGCTGGGTAGAGGAGGGCCGAGTCCCTGGTTAGGGCTCCACCCCCGCAGGCCTAGGTGAGGACAGCCACTCCTGCCTTTGCACCCAAATGTTGCATTTCCCAAGACTATCCTGGCCCACCATGGCCCTATCTTGTGCCTATAAAAAAACCCCAAGACCCTGGCAGGCAGATGCACAAGCCACCAGATGTGGAAAGGAGCAGATCAGTAGAAGACATAGGCAGTTGGACGTCGAGAGGATGTTGAGGGAGCATGCCAGCAGAAGAGCACACCGACAGATGCCAATGCGCCAGCCATGGACTGGCAGAATGTGGCAGAGTTTGGCTGTGGCAGTTGGAGGAGAGCCGGGGTGGCCAAGTGGCCTGACTCCAGGGAAAAACCATCTCCCATCTGGCTCCCCCATCTGCTAAGGGCTACTTTTACTCAATAAACCTTGCACTCAGCTGGGTGTAGTGGCTCACACCTGTAATCCCAGCACTTTGAGAAGCTGAGGTGGGCGGATCACGAGGTCAGGAGTTTGAGACCAGCCTGACCAACATGGTGAAACCCCATCTCTAGTAAAAATACAAAAAAATTAGCCGAGTGTGGTGGCATGTGCCTGTAATCCCAGCTACTCAGGAGGCTGACGCAGAAGAATCCCTTGAACCCGGGAGGTAGAGGTTGCAGTGAGCCGAGATCGCATTATTGCACTCCAGCCTGGGTGACAAAGTGAAAAAAAAAAAAAGCCTTGCACTCATTCTCCAAGCCTACATGAGAACCAGTTCTTCTGGTACACCAAGGTGAGTAACCCTGGGATACAGAAAGTCCTCTGCCCTTGTGATAAGGAAGGAGGTCTAATTGAGCTAACGAGCCACGTATGTCCCACTGCTCAAACCTTAGGGGAGCATACAGGTAGGCAGGTTGTGGGCTCCAAGTCCACTGCAGCATCTATGGGTGAATGTTTACCGCTCCTGAAGCCCCAGTGGGTATGTGTTACACACTGAAGAAGCGAGCCATACCCCCATTGCATGCCCTGCAAAGGGGAATCTTCTTGATACCCCAATGTGCTGGACCAGTAGAAAATAAATCTGTTTTCCCTGGTGGGATTTAAGGAGCTCTGATGATATCCTGTAGGACCCTCTTTCAAGTCCTGCTTCTTGCCTGCCCTGGGCCTCATTTGGGTAACTGGCTGGGCTGCACTGAGGCCTGAGACAAGCTCTCCTACCATTACTGTCTGGCCCCAACCCCGGTTAGCTCCACTGTCCCCAAGGCTCTGTGGAGTGCCCACTGGTGTTACCTGTCCCACAGCCATCGCTTCCTTCCTTGCTAAGACAACCCAGTTTTGTTCAGGAATGTGTGGTCCTTTGGCTCAGGGTAGGAGGGGCTCACTTTGCCCCTCGTGTGCTAGATTGAATGTTACAACAGAGGTCAGTCTGCTGTAGTGGCCTCTGGGGATATTTTCCTCATCTTGATGATGTGATCAGGGACAGGACACATTTTGTGTGGCTCCTGGCCATTGTTGTGAGGGTGGGAAGGCCAGAGCTGCTACAGGCTTCTCCATGACCATGAGAGGCCAGCCCAAGATGTTCAACCAGAACCACAGGAGGGATGCCAGGCCCTGGAGCTGCTGCCCTCCCGGGCTCCTGTGTGATTCTCCCCATGTAGCAAACAAGGTGCCTGATGTCCTGTGGCGTGCAGGTAAGTCTGTAAACTGCAGTGCAGGTGAATCTGCGGCTCAGTGCAAGTCAGTGGGAGCCCGGGAGGTGGCCATGCAATCAGCCTGGGGGAGGGGCTGGGTGCGTGGCTCACACCTGTAATCCCAGCATTTTGGGAGGCCAAGGTGGGTAGATCACTTGAGGTCAGGAGTTCCGGACCAGCCTGGTCAATATGGTGAAACGCTGTCTCTACTAAAAATACAAAAATTAGCTGGATGGGGTGGTACACATCTGTAATCCCAGCTACTCGAGAGGCTGAGCCAGGAGAATTGCTTGAATCTGGGAGGCAGAGGTTGCAGTGGGCAGGAGATCGTACCATTGCCTTCCAGCCTGGGCAACAACAGAGCAAGACTCTGCGTCAAAAAAAATCAATGGGAGACACACTGGAGTGGGAGGAAGCACATTCTGAGCTGGAGAAGGACCTGCCGGCAGGTAAGGACATAGGGGGAGACAGGGGACTGTGCAGTGTTGTCAGGGTGGAAGCCAATGTGGGAGCATGGAGAGAGGAGGCCCAGGAAGTAGATGGGGTCCATGGGGAGGGTTCTCAGCATGCTTGTCCCCCAACTTGGCCATGAGAGACCAGAAAAGTTGGTCAATGATCCAAAAGCATGCATATTTAAGTCTTTAAAAGACAATTACTTAAGCTTCCTTGGATCAGGAAAAAAAAATTGCTGGGTTTTTTTTTTAAGACGTTTACTTTAGGCTTTATCATTTGCTTTTGTTTACAGACATTTTCCACCTGCAGATCTGGCCGAGATGATGCCTTCACACAGGTGGGTGGAATGCCCATAAGATAATCCTGGAGACGTCTGCAGCTGGAATTACTGTAGCTTGGTGTGTCCTAATATCTCCAGACTTGTCAACAGCCTGAGACCTTTATCGGCTACTTCAGATGAGCTTTGAGACGTACAGAAAATTTCTGGTTCAACAGAAATGTATTGTACATAGCTTGTGTGCTAGGCTGGAGGTACAAATGAATAACTAAGTTGCAGACTTTTTCTTCCAGTGGTTTATTGCCTTTGTCCCTTCAGGCTGTTTTAGCAACATACCATAGGCTGGGTGGCTTATAGACAACAGAAATTTACTCACAGTTCTGGAGGCTGGAAGTCCAAGATCAAGGTACCAGCAGATTTGGTATCTGTTGAGGGCCTGCTTTCTGGTTCATAGATGGTACTTTCTCAAGGTATCCTCAGTAGAAGGGACAAGGGAGCTGTTTAGATTCTCTTTTCCTTCTTTTTTTTTTTTTTGAGACAGAGTCTTTTTCTTCTGCCAGGCACCAGGCACCAGGCTGGAGTGTAGTGGCGTGGTCTCAACTCACTGCAACCTCCGCCTCCCGGGTTCAAGCCATTCTCCTGCCTCAGCCTCCCAAGTAGCTGGGACTACAGGCGCATGCAACCATGCCCAGCTAATTTTTGTATTTTTAGTAGAGACAGGGTTTCACCATGTTGGCCAGGATGGTCTTGATCTCTTGACCTCATGATCTGCCTGCCTTGGCCTCCCAAAGTGCTGGGATTACAGGCGTGAGCCACTGCGCCCAGCCTAGGTTCTCTTTTCTAAGGGTGCTAATCCCATTCATGAGGCTCCATCCTCAAAACCTAATCACCTCCCAGAGGTCTCACTTCTTAATATCACTACTTTGGGAGTTAGGATTTCAACATATGAATTTGAGGGCTGGGAAGACAGAAACCTTCAGATGATTGTGAAATGAGAAAAGTTCCTTTGTCCCCCTCGCAGGGCATGAGATGGATTGCAGGCACCAGCCACCATTCCCAGCTAATTTTTGTATTTTTAGTAGAGACAAGGTTTCACCATGTGGGTCAGGCTGGTCTTGAACTCCTGACCTCAGCCACCCAAAGTGCTGGGATTACAGGCATGAATCACTGAGCCTGGCCTCTACAAATTTTTTTTTTTTTTAATTAGCCAGGCATGATGGCATGTGCCTTAGTTCCATCTACTCAGAAGACTGAAGTGGAAGAATCAGTTGAGCCCAGGTGTTGAGATTGCAGTGAGCCGAGATCATACCACTGCACTGCAGCCTGGGTGACAAACGGAGATCCTATCTCAAAAAAAAAAAAAAGTAATAAATGGTTGTTATTGTTTACAGCCATGAAGTTTTGGGTTGTTTTTGTTATTCAACAATAGTTAGGCCAGGCGTGGTGGCTCACACCTGCACTGCCAACATTTTGGGAGGCCAAAGCAGGTACATCAACTAAGGTCAGGAGTTCGAGACCAGCCTGAGCAACATGGTGAAACCCTGCCTCTACTAAACAAAACAAAAATTAGCCAGGCATGGTGGTGTGTGCCTGTAATCTCAGCTACTCAGGAGGCTGAGGCAGGAGAATCGCTTGAACCCAGGAGGCGGAGGTTGCAGTGAGCTGAGATTGAGCCACTGCACTCCAGCCTGGGCAATAGAGCAAGACTCTGTCTCCAAAAAAAAAAAAAAAAAAAGTTCACTAGAACAATCCTGAGCTCACAGACAAGGAAGGAAACAGAGTGAGTGCAAACTAAGCAGAGAGTGGCAGGAACTGGCCTCCCACAGACTCTGTCATCACCAGTGTCTCGACTGCCTGTTTTTATGAGGCTTATGCCTTAAGACAGCATAACATCTTCAGACATTAAGTGAAGCTATTTTTATTTTATTTTCTTTTTTGAGATGGAGTATCACTCTGTCACCCAGGCTGGAGTGCAGTGGCACAATCTCGGTTCACTGTAACCGCTGCCTTCTGGGTTCAAGCCATACTCATGCCTCAGCCTCCGAGGACCTGGGACTACAGGCATGTGCCACCACGCCCGGATAATTTTTGGATTTTTGGTAGAGATGGAGTTTCACCATGTTGGCCAGGCTGGTCTCGAACTCCTGACCTAAAGTGATCCACCCACCTCAGCCTCCCAAAGTGCTGGGATTACAGGCGTGAGCCACTGCACCTGGCCTGCTGAAGCTATTTTAAACATTAAATTGATTTCAGTCACCTGTAAGTCATTTAAGGTTAGAGGATGAATTCATCAGTTTCCAAATAAGAAGTGGTACGACTCAGTTTCTCTCGGGCCAGGCTGGTGCTATCAGGAAGTGTGCCTTCCCACTGTGAGGGCACTGTGCCAGTCAGCCGAAGCGTTCTTTCTCTGGCATTCCCTCATTTGTTAACCGGACCTCGTTTGCTAATGGGAATAGAGATAATGGGCCGGCCTGCCTTCTGGTTGCCCATGACCTAGGGGTGAGGTTGGGCTGGTGGGGTCCGCGTGGACATCTAGGGTCCTTGTGGAAGTCTGGGGCAGCACAGACAAGTGGGCCTTCAGCTCCACCAAGGGCCCGGAGCTTCTCAAAGGCAGAGATCTTGGCCAAAGGAGGACCAGCAGGGGTTTGGCAGCACAAGGGGAAGCTGGTTGTATGCTGAGTGGTGGCGTCCAGCATGGCACTTTGGAAGGAGAGGTTCTCTACCTGCCTGTGCCAGGAATGACAGGCGTCCTGCTACATGAGCCATCCAGGTGTGAGGGTTCTGTCCTGCCCACAACAGCCAGCCTACCTGCCCGGAAAGCATGCTGCTACTTGGGGCCAACCATTTGATCACTCAGTGTATCCTCTCTTCTCTGCTTTGTCTGCTGAAAAGGCCAGGGCTTTTTCCTGGACCCTTCAGTTCCACAAACCCGGGACCTAGCTCTTTGGTGCAACCACGTGTACTCCTGAAGATGGACATTCTGCAGATGGCTCCAAATTGCTCTGTTCCCCACTGTCCAAGGATCTGTAACAGCTGGCACCAGGCTTGGTACATTTTTGTTTTAGGGGTTGCAAACAAGCAGAGATTCATCGAGTTTTCCCCCAACTAGTCACTACCAGTAGGAGTTACTCCTGCGAGTCTTTTACTGAGCCAGGTCTTCGGAAAAGCTACCAGTTAAAATATTCCATCCTATGTGGAGAAAAAGGAACACTTTTACACTGTTGGTGGGAGTGTAAATTAGTTCAACCATTGTGGAAGACGGTGTGGCGATTCCTCAAGGCCTTAGAAATAGAAATTCCATTTGACCCAGCAATCCCATTACTGGGTATATATCCAAAGGACTATAAATCGTTCTACTATAAGGACACATGTACACGAATGTTCATTGCAGCACTGTTTACAATAGCAAAGACCTGGAATCAACCCAAATGCCCATTGATAATAGACTGGATTGGAAAAATGTGGCACATATACACCATGGAATATTATGCAGCAATCAGAAATGATGAGTTTGTGTCATTTGTAGGGACATGGATGAATCTGGAGAACATCATCCTCAGCAAACTGACACAAGAACAGAAAATGAAACACCGCATATTCTCACTCATAGATGGGTGATGAAAAATGAGAACACATGGACACAGAAAGGGGAGTACTAAACACTGGGGTCTATTGGGGGGAAAAGGGGAGGGCCAGTGGGAGGGGGAGGTGGGGAGGGATAGCCTGGGGAGAAATGCCAAATGTGGGTGAAGGGGAGAAGAAAAGAAAGCACACTGCCATGTGTATACCTACGCAACTGTCTTGCATGCTCTGCTCATGTACCCCAAAACCTATAATCCAATAAAAAATTAAAAAAAAAAAAATATTCCATCCTAGCTTATGCCTGTATTCCCAACACTTTGGAAGGCCACGGCAGGCGTATGACCGGAGGTCGGGAGTTCAAGACCAGCCTGACCAACATGGAGAAACCCCATCTCTACTAAAAATACAAAATTAGCCAGGGGTGGTGGCACATACCTGTTATCGCAGCTACTCAGGAGGCTAAGCTGGAGAATCGCTTGAACCCAGGAGGCGGACGTTGCAGTGAACCGAGATCACTCCAGCCTGGGCAACAAGAGCGAAACTGTCTGGAAAAAAAAAAAAAAAAATCTGCCCTTCTGTGGAAGGGTAAAGTGCAGGCACTCACTCTCTCTGCTTCCTCCATCTCCTTGTCCAGCACGGCCAGGGACTGAGCGGGTCATGTATCCTTGTGTCACTGCAGAACCAGTTCAATCTGGTTCCATTTTGTCACTAACAAAATGAAACAAAAAGATGTGTTGTTTTTCATTTGTGGTGGACTCCAAGGCTGCAAGTCGCATAACTTGAGCACGCCCAGATAAACCAAGCATGCCTGATTCGTGCTGCCAGAGCCAGCCAGAATGAAAAAGACAATCACATGCAGAATCACATGCAGTCCATCCAGGAACGGGGTCCAAGTTAAGAAGCCAGGGCGCCCTGTTTTGTTGCAGTACAAACTGAAAAGCCAAGAACCTAACACCACCTCTTTGCATGACCCGGTCCAATCACACCTTGTTGCAATTTCCTATCTCCCTCGTAGTTGCTCTCTGCTTATAAAACCTGACCCCAGACCCCAGCATGGGGAGGTAGATTTCAGCGCTGCCTCCTGTCTCCTTGCCAGTCAACTTTGCAATACAGCTCTTTTCACAGAAGCTGCTGCTATAGCATTGACGTCTATGTGCAACTAGTGTGAGCCCATTGCTCAGTGACACTTGCTTTCTAGATAACCCAGAGAAAATCCTAACCTTTGCAAACAAGAAAGAAAGAGGGAAGGAGGGGGAAAGAGGTAAAGGAAGAAAGGAAGGAAGGAGAGAGGGAGGGAAAGAAGGAAGGAAGGAAGGGGAAAAAAGTACTTCTAATCTTCACAATTTCTACTTTTTTCCACTTTATACAACAAGATGTCCACCTTTGCAAGTAGGCAAAGCTGTGAAAGAACACTGGGGGTGGGGAGGGAGGACACAGGGGTGTTAAAACCCAACAAGGGAGCTGGTGTCAAGAAGACCTCTGCTATCTTTTTTTTTTTTTTTTTTGAGATTCAGTCTCGCTCTGCTGCCCAGGCTAGAGTGCAATGGCGGGATCTCGGCTCACTGCAACCTCCACCTCCTGGGTTCAAGCAATTCTTCTGCCTCAGCCTCCCGAGTAGCTGGGATTACAGATGCACACCACCATGCCAGGCTAATTTTTTTGCAGTTTAGTAAAGACGGGGTTTCGGAGATCGATCCAAGATGGCCAACCACTAACAGCTCAGGATTGTAGCTCCCAGTGAAAGCCCAGAGAACGAGACGACGCCACACTTTTGGACGAATTTTCGTCACTCACCGATCAGCCGATTCCCAGTGGAGGAGCCCCATGGGTCGCCAGCGTGACTCTTGTGGCCGCCGCAGCAGTTTTGCCGGCGTCTCGGCACAGCAGCTCTTCATGCAGAGCCAACGGGACTGCTTCCCCTGCTGACCGGAGTTTGGAGCTCCGGGAAGTCAGAGCCGCTTGTTGCGGACTCAAGAGGGAAGCCAGACCAGAGATTCCCGGGCAGAAGAGCACCATCAGTCTTATCGCTGCTATTTAGGCCGCCACAGTGGGTTGCTCGGATCCCAACACTGGGAATCAATAAGTCGGACGTCGACTCAGAAAACTAATTAGAAAGGCGGTTTATCTACAATGAAGGGAAAAAAACAGCCTAAGAAGGCCGAGTATACTCAAAATCAGAACCCATCAGCAACGGAACAAGCCCTGATGGAAAAGGACTCATTAGCAACCGAACAAGCCCTGATGGAAAAGGACTCATCAGTAACGGAACAAGCCCTGATGGAAAAGGACTGTGTTCCATTATCTGAAGTAGGCTTTAAAAGGTGGATAATAAGAAACTTCTGGGAGTTAAAGGAACTTGTTCTAACCCAATGTAAAGAAACGACGAACTTGGAAAAAAGGTTAGATGAAATGTTGAAAAGAATAGACAATATAGAGAGGAATACAAATGAACTTATGGAGTTGAAAAATACAACATGAGAACTTAGTGAAATATGTACAAGCTTAAACAGCCGAATGGATCAAGCAGAAGAAAAGGTATCAGAGGTCGAAGATCAACTTAATGAAACAAAACAACAAGACAAGAATAGAGAGAAAAGGATAAAAAGGAATGAGCAAAGTCTCCAAGCAATATGGGACTATGTGAAAAGAACTAATATACGCTTGATTGGTGTACCTGAATGTGACGGAGAGAATGAATTCAAGCTGGAAAATATTCTCCAGGACATTATCCAGGAAAATTTTCCTAATTTAGCAAAGCAGGACACTATTCAACCCCAGGCAATACAGAGAACACCACAAAGATATTCCTCAAGAAGACCAACCCCAAGGCACATAATCGTTAGATTCACCAAGATCGAAACGAAGGAGAAAATATTAAGGGCAGCCAGAGAGAAAGATCAAGTTACCCATAAAGGTAAGCCTATTAGGCTTACAGCAGATCTCTCAACGGAAACCCTACAAGCTAGAAGAGAGTGGGGGCCAATATTCAATATACTTAATCAACAGAACTTTCAGCCCAGAATTTCATATCCTGCCAATTTAAGCTTTACATTTGAAGGAAAAATAAAATTTTTTAGGAACAAGCAAGTACTCAGAGATTTTATTACCACCAGGCCTGCTTTACAAGAACTTCTAAAAGAAGCACTATACACAGAAAGGAACAACCAGTATGACCCTTTCCAAAAATACACCAAAAAGTAAAGAGCATCAACATAAAGAAGAATTTTTATCAACAAAAGGACAAAATAGCCAGTTAATATCAAACGGCAGCAATCCTAAATTTAAATCGACCAAATCTCCCAATCAAAAGATACAGACAAAATCTAACGGTATAGCCAAAGATATACATAGACTCAAAATTAAGGGTTGGAAAAGAAAACGTACCAACCAAATGGAGAGCAAAAATAAATAAATAAAAAGCAGGAGTTGCAATTTTCACATTTGACAAAATAGATTTCAAAGCTATAAGGAAACAAGGATAAAAGGATTAATGTAATAATAAGAGATCTTAACACCCAGATACATAAAACCCATAATGAGATTTAGATTCAACGAGACAGAAAATTGATAACGATATCCAGGACTGGAACTAAGATCCAGAACAAATAAACTCAATAGAGCTCTCCATTTTAAACACACAAAATATACATTATCCACAAAATCTAACAATATATCTAAAGATATACAAAGACTCAAAACAAGGGGATGGAAAAAAACTCACCAACCAAATGGAGAGCAAAAATAAATAAATAAAAAGCAGGAGTTGCAATTCTCACACTTAATAAAATAGATTTCAAAGCTACAAGGATGCAAGGGTAAAAGGATTAATGCAACAATAAGAGATCTTAACACCCAGATACATAAGACATAATGAGATTTAGATTCAATGAGACAACAAATTGATAATGATATCCAGGACTTGAACTCAGAGCCAGAACAAATAAACACAATAGAGGTCTCCATTTTAAACACATAAAATATGCATTAACCACTTTAAACACTCAAAATATTGATCGGCCATTATTGAAACCCATTTTAGGAATGAAGTAATATTCCTTTTTCCCTCTTTTTCTTTTTTTCCCCTTCTTCTCTTTTTCCCTCAAAAAAAAAAAAATCTGAGGTCATCAACACCCATTCATACTAATAACTTTCAAGGAAATGAGAACCTCCACAATCTAATAAAAAAAAAAAAAAAGACGGGGTTTCACTGTGTTGCCCAGGCTGGTCGCGAACTTTTGAGCTCAGGCAATCCGCTTGCCTCAGCCTCCCAAAGTGCTGGGACTACAGGAGTGAGCCACTGCACCCAGTCGACCTCTGCTATCTTGAAAAACAAAAACAAAAACAAAAACGAAAAACTCCATGTCTTTAAAGTGTTTTTCCAGATTTTTCATAATGTTTGTCGTAGTTCTCTTCCATGTGAGACAAAAAAATAGGAGCATGTGAGAAATGCATTTGATAGCAAGATATTCACCACAGTATTATGCACAACTATTAGAAATAAGAAATCAGCAATGCCCAGTGGGAGAGAAACGTGATCACCATTCCCATGGAGTCGTGTCCTGGCTCCTTTAAGAAGGAGCAAGATTCAGGCCAGGTGCAGTGGCTCATGCCTGTAATCCCAGCACTTTGGGAGGCCGAGGCAGGCGGATCACAAGGTCAAGAGATCGAGACCATCCTGGCCAACATGGTGAAACCCTGTCTCTACTAAAAATACAAAAATTAGCTGGGTGTGGTGGCACGTGCCTGTCATCCCAGCTACTTGGGAGGCCTGAACAGGAGAATTGCTTGAACCTGGGAGACGGAGGTTGCAGTGAGCCGAGATCACGCCACTGCACTCCAGCCTTGCACCTGGCAACAGAGCGAGACTCTGTCTCAAAAAAAAATGAAGGAGCAAGATTCAAACATGAATACATTAGATTCAACTATGTCACAGGAAGTAAACCTAGATATTCCCTGACCTTTAATTGCCGTGTGCTGGGAATATGAGTAGTTGCTGTAATTTCTGCATTTGCTCCATTTACTATTTATTAAAAACAATCTCAGCCAGGCACAGTGGTTCATCAGCGGGCAGATCACCTGAGGTCAGGAGTTCGAGACTAGCCTGGCCAACATGCTAAAATCCGTCTCTATTAAAAATACAAAAATTAGCCGGGCGTGGTGGTACACACCTGTAATCCCAGCTAGTCAGGAGGCTGAGGCAAGAGGATTGCTTAAACCTGGGAGGCGGAGTTTGCAGTGAGCCAAGATCATGCCACTGCACTTCATCCTGAGTGACAGAGCAAAACTCCATCTAAAAAAAAAAAAAAACAATTTCTGAGACACAGTAACACAGAGAGGTTTCTATGGAGCCCTGTGGATGAGCTGATGAACAGATGGTGCTGTCAGCTGACTTGCTGGTTTGGGAGGCCCCTGGCCAGTGTCCAGGCTCACAGGAGTGGGACCCCTCCCCAGTCCCCAAATCTGTCTTTTTATTTTTGGAGATGAAGTATTGCTCTGTCACCAGGCTGGAGTGCAGTGGCGTGATCTTGGCTCACTGCAATCTTTGCCTCCTGGGTTGAAATGATTCTCCTGCCTCAGCCTCCCAAGTAGCTGGAACTACAGGTGCGTGACACCACACCCAGCTAATTTTTTTTGTAGAGATGAGGTTTCACCATGTTGGCCAGGATGGTCTCAGTCTCCTGACCTGGTGATCCACCCACCTCAGCCTCCCAAAGTGCTGGGATTACAGGTGTGAGCCAGTGGCCCCGCCAAATTTGTGTCTTTC